TTAAAAAAATCATTAGATATAATGAAAAACAAGGCTTGGTATTACAAAGACCTTTATTTGAACAGAGCCACGATATTGATACAATATAGATTATGACTTTCTAAAAAAACCAAAACTCTTTTTCCCCAGTATTATTACACCCACACACTGATCATGACATCAGCCATGGAAAGCCTGTATGCCGAAGCAAATAACCCATCGCTTTACAAATTTGTGAAGACAAAAATTATTTACAGAGATCTTAAATACATAAACAATGATACTCTGAAGTACATAACTTTTGAATATGCATGAATATGTAAGTCATCATCATCCAGTACCAGATCTGCGACAGACATCGGCGATCATGGTTCTCCATTCATTTCTTTGCTCGGATGCTCTTAATTAAAAAAGCTACGTTTCCCTGATCTTTCCCTGTAACCCATTTGTTTAGGTTCCCAAAGTAGGTTGCTCTGGGCTTACCTCTGCCTGGTTTTCCTTCAATTTTGCCAGTGAGATTTAGATGTTCAAGACCTTTATGTCTATTCAGGTGTCCCAAAAACTGTACATGTAAGTACATTACTTTCCTTTTACATTTACTTTTTCATCCTCTGATAACATAATGCTGGTATGAATATTGAGGTAATAAGCTGTCTCTTTTTGTCCATGGAGATGTTTGGATGAGATAAGAGGGGTGCTTAAGTGAAATCAAAGAGGTGTAACTCCCCTTGCAACGCCATGAGGTTGTTTAATAGGAGGGAACCTCCATATTTAAAGTCCGTCTTCGATAGGAGTCAAATTGGAAAATTCGCGTCAAGTTCCTGTCCCTAAGACACAATATAGGAGCATGCTGAAGTTTAACCCCCCCCCCCCCCCCCCCCCACACACACACACACACAGACAACCAACGTTCAAGAACACCGTGCTCGGAATTGGAACTAGGGTCATTCACGCCGTATTTCTTTACCCAATATAATCAAATACGTGCCGAGTTTCGAGTGCTTTCGCAAGTAATTGGAAGGTTTAATGTCCCCTTGGTTTGTGTTTGTTCGTTTGTCTGTGTGTTTATTTGTCTTGCTTTGTTTGCTTTTGTTTTGTTTTGTTGGGGGGGGGGGGTTCTACGTCGTCATATCCAGTGGAATGAATCAACGAAGATAGAGGGTTTTTTACAATCTCCCCCTGTTCAACCGTTTGAGTGGATGAGGGTGCAACACACGTCTACTAAATCACACACAAAAAAAAACCGAATGAGTGTTTTGTCATGCACGCACTGTGAGTTTAATGAGCAATGAGATTACAAAACCACGTCTCGAAAATACATCTTCACAAGAGAAATAAAAATATCAAAGAGAAATCAATTTTAAAAAGAAACACAATAAGGCAGTGCAATAATTATGGAAAAAGCCAGAGGTGTCAAACTCAAGGCCGCATAATATGGCCCAGTGAACTATTATACCAGGCCCGTGAGAGAAATTAAGATAGTTTATTCTGAGAATCTCAGAAACACAGAACCTTGCTCCTAAAATTCCAGCGAACTTGTTGCCAAGAATAGATGTCAAGCAAGCAGCTTTGACAAATTGTCATGAGAGCTAAAATTGGCACGCCTTGATTGGTTGTCACTTTCCCTTTACTCTGTTTTATTTTATATCATTGTTTGAAAAGGGCTTAGCGCTCTCTTGCTTAATCAGTGTTTATCTAATTCAGTCCGCAATCTTCGAGCGTTATTTGAGTGTGGCCCCCTGAGTGACTTGAGTCTGACACCCCATAAATAGATCTAGTGGACACCATTGGTCTCCAACCCTGAGTGATGTGGGAACAAAAATAAGGTAAATGTCTTGACTTACCTTCACCGACACAGTAAAGGTTATCAAGATCATCAATATTCAAAGTCCATTTTTTTACAGGACCGAGTCGAGAAGGAACGAGAAGAGAGGAGTTGGGGATGGGGATCATGATGGTGGAAGTCGGACGTGAGGGTCATAGGAGTTAGAATATCCTAGACCGTGCACTGGGGCGTACTTCCGGAGCACTGTGGTGTGTACCCAAAGATCGTATATAACAAGACTGTTCACTCAGCCTAAAGTGTCTGCGAAAGTCCGCGCATTGCTTTAGATGGCGCTGCAGCTTTTGTTTTGAAGCTTTTTGATGGTGCCTCTATAAATAAATTATTGATGGTCAAGGCTGTGAAGCTTTTCTTTGTTTCTCCAGAAGAAGAAAAGGAGCAGCACAGTTTGTTAGTTTCGCTTTAAAAAAAAATTTCACACAAGTTCGGTAACTCCGTTTGCAAAGTCCCCGCTTTTTCGAAGAGGACGCCACTGATTTTTGTGGACACTTTTTAATTGGCATAAAGAGAGGAGTGAACTATGTTGTTATGTACGATTTTTTATATTCCATTAGAATGGAGAAGATATCTTGTGCACTCAACGATAGCGACAGAGGTGTTTGGACCATCGGTAGGACGTACTCACTCGGCCATCGTGTGGTGCGCACGCTTCAGTTCCACGTTTTTGATAGAGAGCAAAGAGCGTTTGCCATGACAGCATACAGTGAAGCACTTGGCTACTAGTTTGTGATGGGGACGGATCGAAACCCCCACTATGTCAGCCGCTGTGCAAGACTGTATGATCAAAATCATCTGACCCAACGGCTTTTGTCAATACGAAGATGGAAAATAAAAATGGCGTATGTAAAGACAATAATGCAACGCCCCCAGC